AGTCTTTCTTTCTTTCTGCACCCAGGCTGTTGATTACTAAATGTAATAGTCTGATCATGACACCGAATACATGTCTTTTTAAAACATGCTGTGGAAAATTAGTCTACGCTTAAAGCCATCTTGATAAACTGCCCAACAGTGTGAAGTGTAGCATTCCATCGTTTTGGTGCCAGGTTGATTTGAAATATAGTCATAGATAACCCTAGACGGCTTGGGGGCACAGGAGCCATGGTTTTCAGAAGCCATGGTTGTAGGTGAACTGAAAGTTACTGTTGTGTAACCTGGAGTTTGCCATTGAAACAGTCACCCAAGTAAGTTCACAGTTTGCTTAGTTATAGAAAATGGCTGTTGGCGCATCATATGCAACATATCTAAGTTGAATAATGATAACAGATAAAATTATAGATGGAGTTGGAGCGTATGTATCATCCATTATCATGTGTGATCAATAAACAATTTAATTTAAAAAAATTATAGCCTTGGGAAACCAAAGGGCAAAAGAAGAGCTGTACCTTCTTTTTTGTTGTTGTACCTACCTCACTAGGAGTTGGAATTGACTTGATGGCAGTGAGTTTCGAGATACTTGCTTAGCAAGCAGTTGCCAGCAAGTCAAGTGCGCCTGACTCCTAAGTGCTTTGTGCATACAGAATATAACTGTGCTCCATAGGGTTTCCAGTGGCTGATTTTTTTTTTTTAAAGAATAGATCACCAGGTCTTTCTTTTGAGGAGCCTCTGTGCACTTGAACACCCAGCCTTTCGGTTAGAAGCCAAATATTTTAGCCATTTCCATCATCCGAAGACTCCACGATCCACAGAGGAACAGAAACAAGAGAGACAGCAGACTTCTCACTAGAAACAATGCAAAGCTTGAAGACAGCTAGACATATCTTTAAAGTAGTTGAGGAGGGAAATTGGGGGTGGAGGGGATTTAGACTTCTCTACTCAGTCAAAATAAAGATTGTTTTAGACAGACAAAAGCAGATGATTTCTTCCTAACAGACAATGCTTTAAAATGATGTCAGACATTGGGCCTCCACTCAAGTACTTCCTCAATGCAAGAATACTTTGTTCTATTAAACTGGCATTCGATGATGCTCACCTTCCTGACACAATCACTGAAGACAAAGCAGGTGCATAAGCAAATGTGGTGAAGAAAGGTGATGGAGCCCGGCTATCAAAAGCTATAGCATCTAGGGTCTTAAAGACTTGAAGGTAAACAAGCAGCCATCTAGCTCAGAAGCAACAAAGCCCACGTGGAAGAAGCACACCAACCTGTGTGATCACGAGGTGTCGAAGGGATGAGGTATCAGGCATCAAAGAACAAAAAATCAAATCATTGTGAATGAGGGGGAGTGCAAAGTGGGAACCCAAGACCAATCTGTAGGCAACAGGACATCCCCTTACAGAAGGGTCGTGGGGAGGAAATGAGCCAGTCAGAGTGCAGTGTAGCAATGATGAAACATATAACTTTCCTCTGGTTCCTAAATGCTTTCCCCCATCCCCGCCCTCACCCCACACTATCATGATCCCAGTTCTACCTTACAAATCTGGCCAGACCAGAGAATGTACACTGGTACAGATAAGAACTGGAAACACAGGGAATCCAGGACAGATGGTCCCTTCAGGACCAGTGGTGAGAGTGGCGATACTGAGAGGGTGGAGGGAAGGTGGGATAGAAAGGGGGAACCAATTGCAAGGATCTACATATAACCTCCTCCCTGGGGATTGACAACAGAAAAGTGGGTGAAGGGAGACGTCGGACAGTGTAAGACATGACCAAATAATAATAATTTGTAAATTATCAAGGGTTCATGGGTTGGGGAGTGGGGAGGGAGGGGGGAAAATGAGGAGCTGATATCAAGGGCTCAAGGAGAAAGCAAATCTCATGAAAAGATAATTGATTATTTAAACTTTAAGGCAAAAATAATATCAATTTATCGGGGAGTGCATTATGTGTGTGAAAAAGTAAAATGTACGACAGTCACAGAAGCACTGAGACGGGGGGATGGAAGCATACTCCTATAAGGTTCTTACAAGTGAAGCTCTTTAAGAGTCTATAAAGGCAGCCTGTGGGAAGGGAAAGTTTTCTGTTGTGAACCCAAAAGCACTGCCAGTAAGAAAGAAAAAAGCAAAGCTAATATGTCAACTCTCCTTGAGTCAGCTCCCCCTCAAGGCAGTCAAATGCAAGACAATGAAACGCTGTCTGGTGGGTCATGTGCCATCTTCAGGACCACTGGCATGTTTCAGGGCAGCAGGAAGTATTGTTTTGATTGCTACGGTCTTCATTAGCTAATTTTCAGTAGTACACCACCAGCCCTTTCTTCCAAGGCTGCCTGAAGGTTAGAAGCCTCACCGAATGAAACCTGTCCACAAGTGACTGAGGGTATGTTAAATACTTGTGGCATAGCTTCCCACATCATAGCAATATGAAGGATTGACAAGGCAGCTTGTGCGATAGGTCAGTAGTGAAGATTTTAAAAATTCATAAAAGTATCAGTTGATCCAAAAGCTGAAGGGAAAGTAACAAGGGAACATTTAATCCAACTATATCAATAATTAAGAGACCTTGTGGCTTAATGGTTACAAGTTAGGCAGCTAACCACGTCAGCAGTTCGAAACCACCAGTTCCACTAAGGGAGAAAAATGGGACTTTCTACTCCCATAGAGAGTGACAGTCTTGGAAACTCACAGGGGCAATTCTATCCTGTCCTATAGGGTTGCTATGAATTGTAATCAACTCGACGACAGTGAGTTTGGTTCATGTCAATAATTACATGACTATTTAGTGGGAAGGGGCAGGCAATTAGACTAATGGAAACAGAACCCCCAGACAGAAATGAGAGTGAACCAATATCACTGAACAACGTGTTCCGAAATTGTTGAATGGGAACCTAACTGCTGCATAAACTGGGGCTGAAAACACTATAAAATGTTATGGTTTTTACAAAGTAAATGCACAGGACACTATAATTAAGAAGAGATTAGATAGAAAACAAGACCCAACTGCATGTGGAATTGAAGAATCCACTTTAAATCAAAGATAAATTAAAAGGAAAGGATGAAAACAAAGATATATTATGCTAACACTAATCATATTCTAAGGGGGACATAATGCATGATTCCATTTACAAGACAGCACCGGTAAAGCAAAATTAGGGTGACAACAATGCAGTGTTTGCTCTGTGCAGAAGGTGGGGAAAGGTCTGAGCTGCAAAGAACATAACGAGACCTTTTCTTTCTTCAGAGAAGGAGCCATGGTGGTGTAGTGGTTATGCATTGGATTGTGATCCTCAAGGTTGGCAGTTCGAAACCACCAGTAGCTCCAAGTGAGAAAGACTGGGCTTTCTACTCCCATAAACAGCTACGGTCTTGGAAATCTATAAGTCCACAATGGCAGCAAGTTTGGTTGCTTCAGAGGTGGCAGTGTTTTGCACCTTGATTGTGGGGGGAGGTACAGGGCTATTCCTCAGCCAAAACTCAACACATTTTACATCAACATTTGAATGGGTGAATTTTATTGTATGGAAATTCCACCTCCCTTGAGGTGATGAAAGAAGGAAGAAAAGAAATCCAGCACTTCTGTTTTCAAAATGTGCAACCACTTGAAACAGTGTCAGAAAGAATAATCTCCACTGCCGTGGCCCCTTCCCCACCTCACTTAAACCATTTTAGGTGTTTGCTCTGACCCTTGCTGACCTACCCCTGCTCACACTCTGGCTGTCTCACCTCCACCTCAGGCTTTCGCAGAAGCAAGGAACAGTGCATCCCAAAGGGAAATTCTGGCACCAGCATGCGATCATGAAACTTTCACAAACTTAAAGGAGGAATCCAGAGCTGCCCATCCCCTCTGCCCAGCTCTCTCTCGGACACTGACCTCTCCCCTTCCTGACCTCACTTGCGCCATCTCTAGCCACATCTTCTTTTTGTTGTTGAAAGCCCCACCCAACTCTCTGACCTTCTTTTAGACTTAAACATCTCAGTCCCTGATCTTTACATTCTGTATCTTACCCCATCTCCACTAGTTGGCAATGTCACACACACACACACACACACACACACACACACGCGCGCGCGCGCACGTACATGCATATGTACACACATATATGTATGTATATATTCAAATATACACGCATGTATATATTTGAATATATATACACACATCCCTCTCCCCCCAAGTTGATGAAGGCAAGTATGTATGGAAGTGGTAATTGAGCATACAGACACACACACACACTGCCATCAGTAGGATTCCAACCATAGCAACCTTATACAGAGTTTCAAGAACTATTCATCTTTATAGGAACAGACACCTCCTCTTTCTCCCATAGAGCAGCTGGTGGGTTTGAATCACCAACCTAGAGGTTAGCAGCCCAATGTCTAATTCACAGTATCACCAGTGCACAAAAGACAGAAGTAAACCTGCAAACATCAGAGGACAGACACATTCCATAGTCCCAAGACAACTGGACTGCCTATAGGAACAAGACTCTGAGACAAGAATTGGGATCATCAGGGATGGATATGTGATAAAGAGGTAAAAGGACTGAATAAGGCAGCAGTTGAAATAGATAAACAATGATCTGAAATACTTAAAAGCAAAACAAAATAATATACAAGTAATTCTGCATACACTCCCATCCCATTCCCAACAGGTCAGGAAGGGGAGAGGTCAGTGTCAGCGGTCAGAAGTCAACAGGGTAGTAAAGGATAAGATGTCTTCTTGTAATCTGTTTTTTCCAATGACAAATGACTCGGTTCTTAGATTATATTGAAATAACAATGATTTAGATAACCCTGGAAAACCTGTGAAGCCTAAACTAACATTTTTTACTCACTTCATACCATCATGATGTCAGTCTTTCTAGTGATGTGGGCACCGAGAACCCTTCAAATGCTAGCGTCGCCCCGGGGGAGGCATAGAGCCCACTTTAGTTCCCTCGGCCGTGGGAGAGCAGTGCCCAGAAACAACCCAGACACTGCCCCGGCTCTTGCTTCTCCAGGTGCTTCTTACCAGGACCACACGTTCCCGGAGGAGAAGCTGGACGATGCTGTAGCTCCAGGCCACGAATACACCTACGAGTGGAGTATCTCGGAGGACAGCGGGCCCACCCACGACGACCCTCCGTGCCTCACACACATCTATTACTCCTTTGAGAATCTGATACAGGACTTCAACTCCGGGCTGGTTGGACCTCTGCTTCTCTGTAAGAAAGGTAAAAGAGAAGCAAAGAAAAACGATTAAACAACAAAGTAGGTGCTGGAGTGTAAGTAGTACTATAATGGAATGGATGCCTTTTTTGTACATCACTTAGAGTAGCGGTTCTCAACCTGTGGGTCATGACCCCTTTGGGGGTGTCAAACGACCCTTTCACAGGGGTCACCTGATTTATAATAGTAGCAAAATTACAGTTATGAAGTATCAATGAACATCATTTTATGACTGGGGGGGGTCACCACAACACGAGGAACGGTATTAACTGGGTCGCAGCTTTAGGAAGGTTGAGAACCACTGACGTAGAGGGAACCCAATATTTGACATTTGGAATTGTCTTCCATTTGTTCCAATCCCTCTTTTTTCTCGCTCCTGGAAGCCTCTCCCATGTGAATATGTGACCTGCAGCATTTGTCTCAAGGCCAAAGTCTTTTTGAAAGTATACAGCAAGCTATCCTCTACTCAGAAGGCCCAATGTCACTAACGAATTTTCCATTTCTGGGGTTAGATTGATAATTTGCCTACAAACACCTGAAACTCACGCTTTCTTTCTTATGAATGAACTGAGCACTCTGGGTAGTAGGCTTCTGACACACTCAATTGGATTCATAAGAAGTTTCACTGGCTGGGCTTCTTGGGGCCAAGATTGACTTTTTATTTGACTTCAAGAGAATTCAGTTCATCTGAATTCTGGGAAATAACATGGGCGACTATAGGAGGCCTGGTAAGGTTGTGGGGTAGGTGTTAGGTGGCTAACTGCAAAATCGGCAGTTCAAGCCCACCAGCCTTACTCTTGGGAGGAGGATGAAGGCGTCCACTCCCATAAACATTTAGTCTTAGAAGCCCTGGATAGGTGTCACTATGAGTCAGAGTAGACTGAATGGCAATGTTTTGTTGGTTTGTTTGCGGGGGTAGTGGGGCAGGTATCAACCTCTCCAGCAGCTTCAAGGAAGCAAGACGAGGTTTGCTATTCCCGTAAAAACTTACAGTTTCAGAAACCAACAGGGGCAGTGCGACTGTTCTGTGGGGTCACTAAGAATCAACTCGATAGCAGTCAGTTTGCTTTACACATCCACAGACGCAGTAGCTGCAGACATCCCTACTGCTTAATGTATGCATCGCACAACTACAATCTCTTGTTGTCTGGTCCATATGAAATAAACAGTGTGATGCCACTGAAAAGAATTCTAATGTATGGAAGGCTTCCATTTTTAGCATCACCTATATGTTTTTTCTTGTTGCTGTCATATGAAAACGGGTTAGCCCATATACTCTCTCAACTCTCTCTGAGGCCCCCATGCGTGTACAAGCCAGACGGATGAGTTAATCCGACGGTGTGGTGCTTTTTACGTACAAGCTAAAGTATCTAAGTAGGGACGTGCGGACGCTGGAGGGAAGGGATGCTTTTATTAGAGCCTTGACTCATGACGTTTCCACTGTATGTAAGATGAAATTAATTGCTCCAATGCTGCCATGTGCCAGAAAAAATGCTTTATGTGGCAACAGCACTCCTTAATAGGTCCCTAGTAATTGTTACTTGATAAAGATGAAAAGTAAGAACTTCAAGTTGACATCATTATGATTGGCACTTGTCTTGAGCTCTTCACTAGGTAGAAATAACAAACGAGTCTCTTCTTGCTGCGGTGTTCTTGCGAAGTGTGTCTTTTCCTTCGCAGGTGCCCTGACTAAGGATGGGACACAGAAGATGTTTGACCGGCAACAGGTGCTGATGTTTGCTGTGTTTGATGAAAGCAAGAGCTGGATCCCATCCTCCTCCCTCATGTACACAGTCAATGGCTACGTGAACGGGACGCTGCCAGGTAACCTGTGGGCAGACTACCTTCCAGTCACAGCAGAATTGATGGATGCCTTGAGACCCATTATTTTCCTCAAAGCACCAGGGAAGTTAACAGAAACCAATGTCGTTTAGTGCAGAGGTTTTCACGCATTAAATCATCCCTTTATTTAACCATTAAGTAGCTGGCTGAGCTAAGAAGCATGCGGAGCTGGTAGAGGTAAAGCTCTCAGAAAGTTCTACCTCCAGGGAGAGCGCCACAAAGTTGGCTCAGTCCCCCTTGGGAATTCTGTGGTCCTTGATGCACGGTGACTGTGTGTTCTACAAAACCCTGCAGGACAGAAGTTCAAAGTCATTCCCAAAGAGGAAGGGCCAGTAAGAAAAATGTAACAATCTGCAACACACCAAAAAGTATTGCTAGCATTTCAAAAGATGGTTGGAGTGGTGTTTAGCGGGATATAGGGTGGTTTCTTTAGCTGTGTGTACACTGATGCTTGTGAGAAAGCCAAATCTCAGGAACAGTTATGAGGTAAACAGATTCCCACCTAGATCATTGTGGCCTCTCTGTGGTAGACCGGATACTATCCTGAAAAAAAAAAAAGACTATGTGTCTGAATGCCTTTAGTAAATAGTCCATATGTTCAATACACTAAATCTCTCAAAGGCCATTCTTTATGTGTGAAAATCATAAATGCCTTCACTTACATTTAAAAAATGGTCAAAAGTTGAGATCTGGCATTTTGAATTGTATTCTAATTCCTTTGACTTCTTCCATGTGGGACGTTAAGGATACACACACAAACTGTACTGAGATGTGACTCGGAGATCCAAAAACAGGAGCCTGTAAAGCTGGGGCTTCATAGTGGCCTTCTGCCTTAGGAGATCTGCATTCAAACCTCACTCACTTCTCTGTCTGAGTGTGATGCTTGGCCATTGGTCATCTCATGGTGTATACTTACAAAAACCGATTAACCTCTATCGGGGAGGATGTCTTTAAGAATTGGTTCTGTATGTATCACACCATATCCTGTACTATGGGCTCCAGTAGAGCGGCCCTCCTAAGGGTTGCTCAAAAGGGAAGTTGCATCTGTCTCTTGGCCAAGTGCACAATCTTTGTAAATACAAGGGAGCCAAAAGAGGCACACCATACACAAAATTATAATTTAAGAAAATTATTGACTTGATTAGAGCAGAGAAATAATAAACTTATAGTTAGAAAAGAGAAAGCAGTTGGAGCTAAGGAGGATAAAATGAAAATCCACTGCTATTGAATCGATTCCAGCTCATAATGAGCCTGTAAGATAAAGTCGAATTGTCCACTTTGAGTTTCTGAGACTCAGAATATTTGCCTCATCGTTCTCCCTTGGAAAGACCGGTGGGTGCCAACTGCTGACCTTAGAATTAGCAGCTTACTGTGCCACCCACTGCACCACTAGGGCAAAAAAAGGGGCGCATCAGGTCCGTGCTGGGAGTGAAATGGAGAAGAGTGTGCGCTGATAGAACTCGCTGCCTTGAATGTGGGCAACCTGGGGAACCCCGTGGAGCCGACATACACTGTCTCCCACAGGGCCACTGTGAGTTGAACCGCTGGGAATTTGGTTTGGAGTTTTCTTGTCAAGATTTCTTGTTTTAAAAAAAGGAAAGAAAAAAACCTCATAATCTGATACCTAGATAGTAAAATAGGGCAACAGTCTCCATTGACAAACATACTATGAGTATTCAAAGGGAGGTGATTTGTGCTGCCTTTTAAGCCAATAAAAATCACTGTTATTTATTATGGTGTGTGTGGGGGGACCCTGCTGTCTTATGAAAGAATGTCAGTTGAATAGCACAATAAAGGCTAATCATGGTTTTGGTTGCAGAATTCATATGAGCATGTCTTTGGGATAGATGCTTCCATCACACTTCCTGTCTCACGTCCTAGCTTCTTGTTCTCAAGAGGGACCCCAGGAAGCCCTGCCCTGGTGCATTGATGCTGTTTGTGTCATGCTGCTCATTGCCATCTAGGCGAGTCCTCCTCGTGGAGACACCCCAGCCCCCACCCCGCACGGATGTTCCATCGGGGTTCCTAGGCTGGGACCTTTCAGAAGCCCTTGGCCAGGCCTGTCTCTCAAGGCAACTCTGGATGAGTTCCAGGCTGCCAGCCTTTCAGCTAGTGATGGAGTACTGAATCATATGTGCGACCCAGGGACAGTGGTCTCTTTTTGAAAAAGACAAGCCCCCTCCACAGTAAGGAACTGATTCTCAGCTCTATATCTAGTTTTTCACATTTATGGGTCTGAAGTTTAAAACCCGAACCCAGGTTAGAAACCAGGCCATTTGCTCAGTCACCATGGAAGCCAAGAGGGAGAAAAGAGATTATGAATTGCTAGAGGAAGAAGAGAAAGCAGTTGGGGCTAAAAGGAACCAAACCCAAACCCACTGCTACTGAAGCCATTCCAACTCATAATGACGCCACAGGCCAAAATACAACTGCCCGCTTTGGGCTCTGAGACCTTGAATGTTTACCAGAGTGGACGGCCTCATCGTTCTCCCTTGGGTCAAGGGAGAAGCAGCTTCCGTTTTAGTTCTCATGACCACATTCATGAAAGGCTCCCAGTGGCCTCCATCACATTTTCAGGATGGTGTGTAACTCACCGAGGAGCTCCCTGCTTTGGCAATAAAACAATCAACAAGTGGATCAAGAAGCAGTAGAAATCCTCATTGGGTCTTCACAGCCTCCACTCTGTAGGCAAAGCTTGACCTCCATCCAGCTGAGAGAATGAGGATCTTAAACTCCACGCCATTGAAGCTCCAGTAATTCCTCCAGCTGTGCCCTGCTTGGTACTAGGGGGACCAACCATGCCGGGTTGCCCAGGGCTTTCTTGACTTTAACACTGAAGTCCTTCCTGAACCCTGGGAAATCCCTCAGACCACCTCCACCTTGACCTAATCCCTATCAATTTCTGTGTTTCTGAGCTCCTCTCTCCTCTCTCTGGGCTCTCATCAAACTCCATTCTTACCTCCATAATGACATGTACTGCGATGTGTTGTGACTGCTTGCTCCCTGTTACTCAGCTGTCTACTTTTCCAAGGCAGAAACCATGTCCAGAGGGTCTGTGCCCCTAGAACTTTGCACCCACCACACCTGATGCAGACATGCCAGATGTTGAGTACAGGTTAGATAAGTGAATTTTCAGTCACAGAGAGCTGAACTGATTGCTTGCTGTGGCCCCTGTCTCTTCCTTCCTTTATCCCAGATATAACGGTTTGTGCCTATGACCAGATCAGCTGGCATCTGATTGGAATGAGCTCTGCACCGGAACTGTTCTCCATTCATTTCAACGGACAGGTCTTAGAGCAGAACCATCACAAGGTCTCGGCCATCGTCCTCGTCAGCGCCACGTCCACTACTGCAAACATGACTGTGAGCCCAGAGGGAAGGTGGAGCATCTCATCTCTCATACCCAGACATGTTCAAGGCAAGCAAACACCTCCAACTTCTGAACAGAGTACCCCGCACCCCGCCCCCCGCCCAAGACATTCACCTGCTCTTGTTCCTTTTCCTTTTTAAGTCACCCCACCGCAGACATATGTACCCTACCCCCTGAGAGCAGAGTAGATACTGTTAGAGCAGGATCGTTAAGGGTGAGAAGAAGTGGAGGAATTGACAAAGAGGGGACGGGGGGAAATGAAGCAAAAGTCAAAGAAATCCTTACTTCCTGGAAAGCAGAAAAGGGGAAAGAAAAATGCATACACAAAGTATTATTTCATGGTGTGCTTAGGAATGTAGCAAAAGAAAGAGGGCTTGGAATAAAACAAACATTTACTTGCAAATTTATCGAATCACCAAATTACAAAAAAAGGACAAGAGTTTTATTGTGCAAAGATCGTGTTTTATGATGAGATGAGCACAAAGCCTGGCGCAGAGAGGAGCTCCTTGAACGTATGTTCAATGACTCGGACGTAAGATCTGAACAGCTGAGGGCGGCGGTCACAGAACATTTGTAGATTCAGGTGAAGGGAAATCAGCCCAGGTTGTTACTGGTATTGCATAAACAAAATAACTCCTGTTCTACTACACATCTGTGTTCCAAACACTACTAGGAGAAGGGTTTGTATAAATAGAGATTAAAATCTAAATAAATGATATCTTCATTGGAAATTATTTTGTTATCAAACCAATAGGTAGAACCAATGCACTGAAGAAAGAGATGCTTCATGTGATCATTTTGTTTTCTTTTAGCACCAGTCAAAATTATACTTACAGTAGTAAAATTGTCATAATTTTTGATATCCCTACAATATCAAAAATCAAACCAAACGCATTGCCATCAAGTCAATTCTGGCTCTTGGTAACCCGATAGGGCAGAATAGAGCTGGCTCTGTGGGTTTCCAAGGTCGTAAGTCTCTATCCTGCAGAGCAGCTGGTGGTTTTGCACTGCTGACCTTGATGTTAGCAGTCCAAGGGATAACTCACTTACACCACCAGGACTCCTTCCTTGAAAGACAGAATTCCTAATAATAAAAAAACGCCAACAGTAAAATGAACATTTATTGAGGACTTGGGTGCCAGGTATGGTTGTAAGTGTCTTATGTGCTGATTTGTTTAATTTTTAACAATATCATGTGATGAATAGATAACCTCACTTTAGAGTTGAAGAAACTGATATCAGGCATATTAGGAATTCAAACAAACCTAAGTCATAGTGTTTTAAGGTTTTTGAGATTACAAAAACTCTTCCTGCTTCTGGAAGAAACAAAAAGAATCTTTCCAAATTCTTACCCTCCCTTTCTCTTTGCATCTCTGCCCCGTTTGGTCCACCACTGAAAAGTTCAGGACCAAATACTCAGTGTTGCTTGAGTATTACTTTCATTGTATAATTTAAGTTTCCCATAAAATTCATTTAAAAGACATGCACTCTGATCAACCTTAATATCTTCTCTTAAATTCTCCCATTTCTTATTCCCCAAACCAGCTGGGATGAAGGCTTACATGGACATTAAAAACTGTCCCAAGAAAACCAGGAGTCCTAAGAAATTAACTCTCAGCCAGAGGCGGCACATGAAGAGATGGGAATACTTTATAGCTGCAGAGGAAGTCATTTGGGACTATGCACCCGTAATACCAACGAATATGGACAAGTGAGTCAAAGAGGTCTTGGGAAGGCTCAAGACACAATTCCTTTGATCCTAGACACATGAAGACGAAATGCCATGAATTGACAACTCATGCATTGGTTCAGGTCTTTTTATCCAACTCAATCTGGAATCATCCCAAACTCACCAAGGAGACTCAGTTTAGAAATAGCCATGATAACAATAGCTGGGTCCATGTGGTCATTGCTTGCTGTTGTTCAGCACTGTGCTGAACCAAAGGATTTCCCTCCGACTCTACAAATTAGAAACTGCTATGATTCACTTTTTAGATAATTAGAAATCTTAATAGGAACTGAGTCAGAAATTAAGGAATTTAGACACTTTAAAAATTTCTTAAACATTCAAAAAGATGCTCCAGCTCCCTCATAACTTAAAGCTTCACAGAAATACCATTGATGTATATTCACGCATGTCTATTTAAGAGAATGGAGGCTTGCTGGAGTTGACAGCTACTTTTAGAGGTTCAGAAATGTCTGGAAAACCAATAAGAGTGCCATAGATGAAGTGACAGAAAAGACCTTAGGAAATGTCCTAGTGCACCCTACTCTTTCAGTCCCTGGAGACCTTTTCCCAGAGATACTGAAGGGCTGCCATAGCAACCAGATCGACAAGAAGACCCGAATAGCTGCTTCTGCACCGTGACTTTCTCAGTGGGAGAGAACACCTAGAGGTTTCGATCTAGATCGACAGTGTCAGGGCTTTGCAAACTACATGACACGTTTTCCAGAGAACTAGCATCGTAGCTAACCCAAGAGCAGAACTTGTAAGGCAGAACGTCCCTTTGATATTGGGGTAACCACATGAAGAAGAGGTTTAATGTGTGTCTGTATTTTTTTTTATTTCATCTCACTTGAAGAATATACAGATCTCTGCATTTAGATAATTACTCGAACCAAATTGGAAAGTATTATAAAAAGGTGGTCTACAAACAATATCAAGATGAATCCTTCACCAAGCGTGTGGAGAATCCCAATATGCACGATGGGATTTTGGGCCCTATTATCAGAGCCCAGGTCAGAGACACGCTCAAAGTAAGTAGCAGTCTTGCTTGACCAAGTGTTTCTTTTTCCAAGAAAAAAAGGCATCCTTATAACGTGAAATTGAAACGCAGTGTTTGGTTTTTGTTTATTCTTCCTATTTACTTCTACGTTCTCTCACACCACAAAGGATCTGAAACAACTTGTCAGATTACAAAGGAACGAAACAGAATTGAGGTCAAGGATGATGTGGGGACAACGAAAATCAAGTATAGACAGGCATATTAAAGCATATATATGATTCGGCCCCTGTTTGCAAGTTTTGTTCTAATCTTTCTAGCAACTAAAATAAAAAAAGATAAATATATGAGAGAAAGAATCTCAGTATTCCTAAGAAACACAGTTTCCTCCTAATACTAAAGCCTCAGGGAATTTTCTCTCATTAAAAAAAAGAATACTTTGTGTGGCAGTGGATGGTGTTCTTGACAAAATCCCTACAACTAGCACAATAAATACATTTTAATGGTTTCTTAAAATAGTGTTCCCCATTATAGCTGAGAACCTAACAGCAAACACAAATAATTAAAAACCCTTCAAGGGAACAAACTGTTTAGGGTAGGTAGGTAGCTCTCTAATGATTGGTCTTGATCCAAAGATGAATTATGGTGAGTATAGAGAACCCTGAGTGTTCTTCTGATATTTTTCATAAATATTCTGTCACATCACAACACTTTTCTAAGAAATGGACAGCAGAAAGTTCAAGGTCGCCATCTTTGGCACAGATTAGGAGTGATTCAAATGTGTTCACATTCATCCAAGTGGAAGAGAAGAACAAGACTCTCTTGAAATGTAATGACATTCATCAGGATCCCTTTGTCTATGATGTCTCTCTCTCACCTCTGGATGGGGCGGACGAAGAAATACCCACTTGCTGCTATGTGCTCTTGGCGAGTGTACTTCATGGGAAATTTAGGACCTGGACCTTTGTCTATGACCTGCAAGAAGATTGCCTCCAAGAGATGGCTGTAGGAGACGAGGCAGGAGAGACAAGAGATGAGAATCCCAGTCCACAAGCAAAGGGAGATGTGGTCCAGGCTGAAAGGGCTCCAAAAAACCAAACTCACTGCCATTAGTCAATTCTGACTCATAACGACCCTGTAGGATGGAGTAGAACTGTCCTTCCAAGTCTGTGCATCCTTACAGGGCAGAAAGCCTCGTTTCTCACCTGCAGAGGGGCTCACCTTTGGGTAGCAGCCAAGGCATCACCCACCAGGTCACAGGGAAGGAAGAAGGCAATGGCGATCTGAGTAGGTGATAGACTGAGAGAAATGTTGCCTCTCCTACTTTGTCTTCAAAGGTCAAACTTCTCGTACCATTTTCACTCAAATGTCTGATTGAAGTGCTCTCAAATGGCTTTGGCCAAGTGACAGCACAAAGTTGTCACTCAGTAAAACAGCCAGTTTTCTCACTTGTCCCAGCATATGTGCAACACACACACACACACACACACACACACACACACACACACACACCAAGTGACTATGCATAAGTAGCATCTTGTACTAATTCTTGTGTTTAACCTGAAATCTGAAGTAATGCATTTTATTTATATTTGTAGATTGTGTTCAAAAATATGGCCAGTCGCCCTTATAGCATTTACCCTCATGGAGTGACCTTCTCTCCATATGAAGATGAAGCTAACTCTTCCTCCACCTCAGGTTTGACTCCTTCACTGCTACTGGATGAACCTGTCTTCCTTAGAGAGGCGGTCATATTTTTTCCCATTGCCTTTCTTGCCCAGTGATATGACTAGCATTCACATTGAATATATGTGACATAGAATATATATTCACATAGACTATAGGTCACAGTATTCTAAAAGTCACAGGCAAACCCTGTTCACTTCAGGGATTTTGTTGACTTTTCAACCAGTCCCGAAACATCCTGTTTCCATGTAATGGATTCAGACTCTGAGTGAGCCCATACGTGTCAGAGTAGAACTATGCTCCGTGGGCTTTTCCATGGCTGATGTTTCAGAACGAGATCAGCTGGCCTCTCTTCCCCGGCACCTCTAGGTGGACTTGATCTTCCAACCTTCTGGCTAGCCATCAGCGTGCTAAACGTTTGCACCACCCAGGGACTCCATGTTCACCTTAGTGTTTACAAAATGTGGTCTCCTCTTTTTGGCATCATAGCAAGGCCGCTGTAGAACAATATCTAATGATGACGTGCTGCCCAGGGCTCTGTCGAGTTTCCTTTCCCTAAAGCACTTGGTTCTATTGAGAGTTCTGATAGTTTTTTGTAACCATGAAATGATTTTCCAAAGTAAAACAACTTTGGGTACAATTGTTTTTGCCAGGTCATCGATCCATGATCAGAGCAGTCCAACCAGGAGAAACCTATACTTATAAATGGAACATCATAGATTCTGACGAGCCCACAGAAAACGATGCCCAGTGTTTAACTCGACCATATTACAGTGATGTGGACATCACAAGGGACATCGCCTCCGGACTGATAGGGATACTTCTCATTTGTAAGAGCAGATCCCTGGACAAACGAGGCATACAGGTACTATGTCCTTGAAGTAACCCAGCAAAATTCCAGGAGTCTCTTCCAGCGGAAACAAATTAGATGCTCCTTGCTAACTAATAGGCATTTTCCTTTAAGAGATCAACAATCTTAAATCACCTGTTTACAGTAGTGTGATGAAATGGATTCCTTTGGTTACTTTCTTGTTTTCTTGTTCTGTCTACCTTCATCTGAATTCTTACAGCACAAAGCAAGATTACTGTGGATGCTATATCTTGTTTTGGTTTCAGATTCTAGGTATTAGCTGTGTGACTTTGAGCAAGTCACCAAGCCTACTTTAATTTCTACTTTATTAAGGTGACCAGATTTTAACATTGGTAAAGCGGGACAAAAGCAGGACACCATTGATGAAACTCATATCCTGGCAAAATAGCCACATGGCACTCCAAAAACTGTATACCCTAGCTTGTCGTGCATTCTTTCCGAAAATCAGGACTTTTAAAAACGCCGCAGGATGTGGGAAAAATTGTTAAAAATCAGGACTGTCCTGCCAAAAGCAGGACGTCTGGTCACCTTCTTCTTTATATAACAGGCAACAGCCTCCTCCCCGTTGCCTCCCCCCGCAACTCCCAAGCACTCCCATATTTTCACAAGTTTGTTTCAGGGCTCAGGGGATATACATGAAAAACTGATAACGCTCTGCACCAATCCTTGTTATTTCTAGGAATCTGCAATATGAAGAGATCAGAGAAATTACCTAAAAGAAAGAGCATTGGAGAGAGAGTTTCCTGTAAAGTTGGACCCAGACAAGCGAGATTCCCTTGTACAGGAGAATGTGAACACTGATAGGGATCTTCTGAGGTTATCTTCAGTGAAGAGCAGTCTCTTGTTATTAACATAAAATTCCCAGAAGAAATGATAGGACAATCCATAATCAAAGAGGCCTCATATCAAGGCATACAAAGTATATATAAAACAAACAAAAAGCCCATTGCTATGGAGTAACTTGTGACTCTTGATAACCCCGTAGGGTAGATTGGAACGACCCCTGAATGTTTCCAAGGCTGTAAATGTGTCCCGAAGCGGACTGCCTCATCTTTCTCCCTGGGTGGATTCGAACCACCTACCTTTCAGTTAGTAGCTGAGCACTTAAGCACTGCATCGCCAGGGCTCCTTATAAAATAAATATACACCTAGAAAAATCGGAAATTGGCCATTGGCAGTTCCTGGTTTTCTGACCTGGGAAAGCAAGCAGGTGTGAAGAGAGGGAGGGCGTTCCTACTGCAGCGTTGTGCTTTACCCTCGGCCACTCTTTGGGACACATGCAGCAAATCATTCCGCTTGAAAGGTGCTCCATACCAGAGGTGAATTGCTTTCTATTGGCAAGGTGAATTGTCGATGGATGTGCTGATCTGTTCGGTTTGTTTGGCATATTACCTTTGGCTCTAACATGTGCCAAAGCAAGTTCTCATCGATGCCTGAATGTGTGGGTGTTCGCGGCCCCCACGCCGGGCACTGCTGGCTTCTGAGACGGTCTCAGAGTGGTGGCTTGCCAGATGCACCCCTGACCCCAGCACTCTCTCTCTCCAGAGGACAGCCGACGTCGAGCAGCAGATGGTGTTTGCTGTGTTTGATGAGAACAAGAGCTGGTACCTCGAGGACAACATCAACAAGTTTTGTGAAAATCCTGATGAAGTGAAACACGAAGACCCGAAGTTTTATGAATCAAACATCATGAGCAGTAGGTTGAAGCACTGTGTTTCTCCACTCTCCCCTACGCGCACACACACACACACACACACACACACACATACACACACACACACCCTCCTTCAGCTGTGCGTAGAGGCAGAGACATAGATTAGCATCCACTCACTAAAGAGTACCTCTTAGCCTCATTTCCAGGTTTGTCAATGAATTCTCTGGGTGGCCTCCCAGGAAGCGCTGACGTGCTCATTATCCTTGGAAGACACCACATGACCTCCTGCTTCGCACACGTGCTCTGAGACGCAATGAAGCAATGTGGAAGGTGCCACTGGCTTCCATCCATGTAATCTGGAGATTTTAGACAGGGGCCAAGATAAATGCTCATTGTGTCCAGCAGAGAAACAAGGCAAATAGTCTAATGCCACCTTGTCGAATGGACATCAGGTCAAGTGAGTCTGGGGAGCCTGCAGTCTTAGAGAGTCTATCCGTGAAGTTTTTAAAACATGTTCTTCACATGCATGTGTTCCAATTAAGGGCAACTCAAAGCTCTCTGTTGTAGTTAGTTGCTATTGAATCACTCCCGACTTGTGTTGACCTTATGTGTGGAGAGTAGGACAGCTGCTTATGGCTTTTAAGGTTGTGCGTGAAGAGGTTTGAAGGGATCACCAAGAAGTTCAGAATGTAAGGGATTTTCCCGGTCAGGGTCCAGGCATGTGCTGCAGCTTGAACACTCAGTGCGAGTCATTTCAGAGAGCCAAGGAACAAACATCTGCATATAGCCAGGTCCCCTCTGCTGTTCCACTGGTGGTGGTGAGTCATGTCACCATGATCACACAGACGAGGGTGATTTCTCCATCTTCTACTCATCTAGCTTCCGATGATTGACAGTTAGGGATTATCAAAACATGTAGGTGCTAGGGGATGATTCTCAGCTTTCTTTGCATAATTCTACTTTGACAGTGAATTTCATAGATGTGGATCAGTGCTGTCCAGTAGGAATTAATAAGATCTACATATATCATTAGGATCCCTGGTGGTACTGTGGTTGTGAGTTGGGCTGTGATCCATGTGGTCGGCAGTTCAAAACCACGAGCAGCTCCTCAGGAGAAAGATTGGGGTGTCTACTCCCGTAAACAGTTAGTCTTGGAAACCCAGCTGGGGTTTGCTATGAATCAGCACTGACTTTGATGGCAGTAAATTTGGTGTGGGCATACTTAATTCAATACTTTCTGGTTGTTGCTGCTGTTCGGTGCCATCAGATTAGTTCTGACACTTAGTGGTCCTATGTAATACAGAGAGAAGCCCTGCCGGTCCTGAGTCATCCTCACCATCTTGCCTATGTGTAAACTCATGGTTTCAGTCGCTGTGTCGATCCATGTCATTGAAGGCCTTCTATTTTTCACTGACCCTCTGCCTTCCTAAGCATGAAATCATTCGCCATGTAAAGAGAAATATGTGACATTAATTTTCATTTTATTTGATTCAAAGGATCCTAAATGTAATTTCCACAAGTAATCCACATAAAAAATAATGAGATTTCGATTTTTTGAAACTTCTTGTTAAATCTTCAAAGAGCCATGTGCATTTTGCACTTACAGCATGCCTCGGTTCAGATTACCCTCATTTCAAGGGCCCAGTGGCCAGCCCCCTGTGGCTAGTGGCTGCCCAGTTGGACAGTGTTTAGAAAGAAAAACCATCTATAAAAACATCCAGAATGAAGAACAAACTCACTCACTACCATTGAGTCATTTCTGTAGATAGGGTAGAAACTGTACCTGTGGGTTTCTGAGATTAACCCTTTACGGGAGGTAGGAAGCATATTTTTCCTGAAGAGCCAGAGTGGCTGGTTTAGAACTGCTGACCTTGTGATTAGCAGTCCAAAGTGTAATCCAATACACCTCCAGAAAAAAACAAATAGCAGTCATTCTACAAATATTTATTAAATGCCCACTAGCTCCAGGCTGTGTGTTTAAAGCCAGGCCTTTCATGGTGACCCAAGCGGGTGTAGTCCCTGCCCTTATGAAAACAATCTGATTTTGTTACCATGGTTAGCAAATAAGTAAATAAGGATATGGCCAAAAGTAGTGTTACTTTTCAAGATAATAAAAAATACGAACTCAATATTTTAATGAACACTATAGTTTATATATGCATGACATCAGGTGGAACAATTCCAAAATGTGCAAAAATAATCCTACCTCACTTTTAAAGACATTACTTCTGGCTCAGGGTGTCAAGCCAATGAATCTTTTATATTGTGCTTTTTCTCCAAGTGGAATTATCCTGGTTAATAGTCTATGTTTGTGTTCAGAATATCTTTGAAGACAGAGCATGGAGCATGAATATTTGATAACACATTTGATGAATGAATAAATGAATATAAATGAAAGACATTCTCTTTATTCTGACATTTGTCCCCTTGGCTAAATTAGGAGAATAAGCTCTCACCTGGGGAATCTGAGTTTGACCTTCTAGTCACATGTTAGACATGGCAATGCTGGTCTTAGATAATCATGGCTTTGATGCAATGGCATTGGTGTGAGCAGCTAACTCAACATGGGGACACTTCTTTCCGGTGTAAATAGGTGCATGCCCTTTTGTTGGTACAGGCTAGGTGTTTTAACAGATTTGACTCTTTCAGCGATCAATGGCTATATCCCTGAGAGCATACGTGCCCTAGGATTCTGCTTTGATGACACTGTCCAGTGGCACTTCTGCAGCGTGGGAACCCAGGATGACATTTTGACCATTCATTTTACTGGGCACTCATTCGTCTACGGAAAGAGGCATGAGGACACCCTCGTCCTCTTCCCCATGCATGGAGAATCTGTAACTGTCACAATGGATAATGTTGGTGAGTAAGAGCCTGGGCATTTGGAGGCAAGTTGACTTTGAATTTCCCATTTATAAAGGTTCCACTGCCACTCACAGGCGGCCACTCCTCCTGATCTTGTCTCTAATATCTCTCCTAATTGCTATTTGGAAAATTAACTAAGGGGCCCAGGCATTTACTATAAAGAGTCCTAGTGGCACTATTGGGTAAACTAGTTGCAAGGTTGGTGGTTCAAACCTATCAGCCACTCTGCAGGGAAAAAGATGAGGCTATCTGCCCCCATAGCGATTTATAGCCTTTAATGAGCTTCATTTAATCTTCCTGGGTTAAGTAGGAAGTACAGATGGACACAATGGCAGAAAGATCCGTTGTAACTGGCGGGAAGCATAGACATGTAGCTACAAAGAGAATTTCTCTATCAAAATGCCCTTTCAGGTTTTAAAATGGCCATCCCACTCTCAGGTGAGCCACCATCAGACACTATGCCCTAGAGGCTGAACCTCAGAAAACACACGAGTTTTGGAGTTCACCAAGTTGGGGTTCAAAGCCTGTTCTGACACTAGATATCTGTGCAACCTTAGACTAGTTACCTGACCCCACTTGCCTCCATTTCCTCAAATACTAATACCTTAGAGAGTGACTTTGAGCATGACTTGAGGTCTATGCCAAGTAGCAGCACTCAGCACACACTCAACAATTGGAGCTGTCCCAGAAAATTTTCAGTACACCAGAGAATCATAGAATTTCAAAAATTCTCAGAATTGCACAGGTCCAACTGAATTATTTATTGCCAATAGCATAGGTTCTCAAACTAAATTGGCCTATTCTCCCCTTTTCAGAAAAATAATAATAATAACCCTCACCACCACTCTGGCCATGAAAAACTTTTATCCGATGGCCCAGAATCCAGGATAAAATGTGGTTATCTGCTTTTGCAGCCTCCCGTGGATCATCCCTGTGCCCTCCAGGGGGCTGTACTTCCCACTTTGGAAACATTGGCCTTTAGGATATTTACTCTTCCTATCCCACCCCTCATTCTTTTACA